CCACTCCCAGAAGTGGCTGCGGCGACTCCTGGAAGCAGCAGAAGCAATTGGTCACATGCCGCCTCCCTCCCCCCACCGCCAGGCAGCAAGATTGGCTGCAAAGGGACCCCCGCCCCAGACATCAAGACTGGTCATGGGGTGGGGGCATGTGCTAAGGCGGCACCAGTTGCTCATACATGAATGTAAAGGTTAGTTTGTATCCTGTTTTAAGGCATACAGCACTGGGAGAAGTAAAGGTGCATCATTTACCTTCCTACTTGAACTAACTATTCCTACTTACATATTTCTTAAGGGCTTCATGCTACCCAATAGAAAATTAAGCTCTTGCAATAGTCAGAAGTTGTTGGGATAAACAATTCTATAACCAAAGCAGACAGTAGTGAGCCAAGAAATTAGATTATGCTGGAATGCAGCTGTAGTAGAAACCAATTTAGATTTTCCTGGAAACTTCAAGAAGATTGTTAAAATAGAACCACAATGGCCCTCCTTCTTTGGATACTGTAATAGATGCCATCAGGCTTCACTCATCACAAAACCCTATTTAAATTGAAAGCAGAAGTCTTTATGACATAATTCCAAAGAAGCGAGAGACAAGACAATAGCTTTTAACTTTCCTTAGATATTAAGTGCTGCTGTGGGTAATGCTACTGCACAAAGATGGATGCATGGAAGTTGCTTAAAAAATGGACTAAAATAAGATTCAAAACAATTGCAATTTAATCTTTTTCAAGACGTTAACCAGGGGATACAACCAGCCATGCATGATGAACCACCAAGAATTCTTGAAGAAACTCCAGCAGTTTATTTTGCATGAACATCAATAGGATTGGGGCAGATTCAGGGGTGCTGCAATGGTGCGGTTGCACCCGCTTTGATAGTATACTGCATACACTGTGAACTCTCAGAGTTCACCACTACTTTACTGCAACTCTTGCTGGGAGCCCTGAATGTGCTCCTCACTGCTGTTTGGTACAGGCTCTCAGCCTCATGTCCTTGCTTTCAAGCAGCAACAGAACTTAGTGCTCCTCCCCCTTCCCATTCCCCGTTGCTGAATTCAGCAGCAGGGAAAAGGAGGAAAGGAGCAGCCAGTGATGCTCACCCCCTACTTGCACACAGCTCTGGAGGCTTGGCACTACTGCTTGTCTCCTTTTCCTGCTGCTGAATTTAGAAGGGGAAGAGGAAACAGCAGCGGGCTCTGGAGCTGCTTGAAAGCAGGGACTGTGGGCGGATCCTGAGCTCACAGCACATGTAGAGTTCCAGCAGGAGCTGCTGAGTGCTCACTAGCATCCACAACTACAGTAAGGACTGTCAGCTTATCCCTTCAGATGTGGCACCACACCTCCATCATCGCAATCTTGATCTGCCCACAATCAACATTTTTCGTACCATATGGCCAGATGGGACTATTGTGATCTAGTGCAGGGACTAGTGCAGTATCCCAGGGGATACTTGGGAAGGCCCTAGGCCAGGAGTTGTCAATCGGGGGTACACGTACCCCTGAAGATACTCGGGATGGCCTCAGTGGAGCAGTGGGCGCTACCACTGGCACTTCTGCCACTGCTGCCCCTGCCCCCCAGTCGCCAATCAGCCACTGGGGGACCCCCCCCCCACTTGTCAACCTGGGGGACAGACTCCTTCCTTCTTGACTGGCCGCCGGGGATACACTGACCCAAAAAGGTTGAAAACCCCTGCCCTAAGGGGTATATGTGAGCAGGCAGGGACCGAGTGCCACACCCACCACCCCCTTCCAGGAGCAGGGTCAGGCGGGGGGAGGGCGGCAGTAAGGACAGTGGCACCCCTCCCACATCTTTCAAAAGCCATTTGGCTACTTCATTTAATTTTGAGCTTTTGGTTCAGTGTAGATGCAAGATGTGAACTAGCTTCCAACTTAACTTGTATTGAGGACAGTCTTATTCAGACTGCACTCAGATACAGACGGTGCTGGCAGAAGATCAGCTTTCAAACAATGAAGCAGTAGGCAGTTTAAAAAGAAAAAAAAAAAAAAAGCCAAATTTGATCGTGAAGTTTCAAACATGATGGGGTTGACAGATACTTTTAGGCCAAGAACTTCCAAACACTACACTGAAAAAAGTTACAGATCCAGATTTTAAATTTTGTTGTTTTCATTTAAATACAGTTGCAAAAGAAGCTTGTAGATACTTTAAAAAAAATAAAATTTGGTACCTCTGCAATTAATTATTTTTAATGAATTTAGTTGTCATTACTAAATCAGCAGAAACGCTTATATTAAAGCATTTGTATATTAGGAAAAAAGGAGTGAATGTTTGTTGGGCAGTTGAACGACTCTAGAAAAGAGGCTGTTATTTGCTGATAAGTGTTTTCAAAGGTAAATCAATTTTTTAATCATCCAAATCAACTCCTGTTAATGGGTAAAAAAGGTGCAAATACTGATAATGGGAAAGGAAAAAAAATAAAGGTCTGGAGCCAGCCGGGGGGAGGGGAAATCACCACTCAGATTATTAACTTTATGTTGATACACAGCACTTGTAACACAAGAAAGGAGATCTTTATTCAAATCAAAAACCAAACCCACAGTGAACAAGTGAAAAAAAATAAAAAATAAAAAAGGTCCTACTTCATGCACACAGCAATTTTGGTCTTAAGAGGCCAGACAGATTTTACCAAGTAATCACATTTTGTCCTTTAAAAGCCATGAGCAAACTGTGTAGCCAAGTGTTTAATATTCATACCATTTGTCTTTTCTTCCAAACTGCTGCTGTCCTTATGTTTTTGTTTCCACTCAGCAATGTCCTCTGAACTGTGATCATCTGTTATTCTCCTGTTCCACTGCTAGTGCGTATCTGATCCATGTTGTCTGGTAAGTGTACACCCATGCTTTGTAGAATGTTAGAGGCAGGTCCTGACAGTCCAGCTTGAGCACTGTAGGATTCCAGTAAGTTAGTCACTAGGTTCATATCTACATCCACAGGGGTTGTATCACCATCTTCTGCACCAGAATCATCTTCCAAGTTACTATAAGAACCCTGGGACACAACTGCTTTAGCAGAACTAACCTAAAGTAAATGCAGAAAGAGTATTTTAAGAAATGCATAATGTAATAAAATATTTGTTAACATGATCACAGCTGGTGCATGGGGAAAAAAAAGCAACCAGAGCAAAAGCTCCTAACTAAAAAAAGGGCAGAAACAGCACAGACTTATTAAAGAAGTCACCAGAACAACTCTTTGCAATCAAGGCAGAACAGAACAAAATAAGCAGAAAGACGAAGGCCAGTGTGTCATTCCCTCCCAAGTGACAAGAGATCATGAACCAAAGAACCAACCATACCATCTCAAAAGGACAGAGAATTATGAGACATTTTGTTCGATTTTGTTTAGGGTTCCTGGAAAAACTTACTTGGGTCATGATACAGTTGCTTGCAATACTAAAATGCAGAAATGAAACAGGAACTTACAGCCATTGGACAGGCTAAAATTTAGCTTTTTTCTTTTCTTTTTTTTTTTTAAACATTGTAAGTCCAGTGGTGCAGCATACACCACACTTTTTGCACACAAGATCTTTTTGGAATGAGCCTATGTGCTTAGGGACTACAGTGTCACTGATTATATTGCTTAAGGCCATCACTTCACTACCTGCCTTCTCTCCAAAGGTTTTCAGGAAATAGGGCAAGTTACCAAAACAACCCCATCTCCCATCTTTTACATACCATTTTCTTTTGGGTGGTGAAGCTTTTGCCAACATTAGTGTGGGCCAGCTCATGGTCCATTTCGTTCATGTATGATCTCAGACTGCCCATAATTTCATTTGGTAATGCCTTCTGCTCTTCACCATGGGCTTCAGTATTCAGGTCTTCATCACTGTCCAAGAACTTAAACTCTTCCTCCTCATCTAGATCATCTGAATCCAGCTCTTCTGAATCTGCCCCTATAAATAAATCCAATGCAAAAAACACACAAGCTAGTGCAATGCCCATGGAAAGCTAAGAAAAATGAGTACATTTACAAGGAGACTACTTTTAAAAATCTCTCACCTAAAATTCTATCTAAAGCATTTGTAAAAGACTCAACATCAAAGGTTACATGGGCTTCATCAGTTGACCTGAAATTTAAAAATAAGATCTTTATTTAGATAGCAATTCATTCTCTTGTACAGCCAAGAAAGTCTGGCATCAGCCAGGACAAAATTAGGAACCGGAATTTTTACATAACCAGCACCCAGCATTCCCCACTCATGCTGGATAACAGGGATTTTACTGTATTTCCATTTAAATAAAAAAAGACAGCTATTAGTGTTTCTACTGAACAGTTCTTTAGGGCAACAAGACTGAACAGCTGCCTATAACTTGTCATGTAATCAAATATAAAGAAGTATATAAAATAATAAAACATCTACTGTGAAAGTGTCCACAATTGTGACTGCTTTGGAAAACACAGCACTTCCTTTGTGTTTAATTGTGGAACACATTTACACTGCTGCTATTTCTTCTGCACTGTTTTATTTAATATATTTATCTGTATGAAGTCAAAGAAACAGGTGCATTACACAAATAGATGGTTTTAATTTAGCAAGTCTGATACTCCCAACTTAAATTTCACTTTTACCCCTGAATACCCCAAATCAACATTTTCAGTCTACAATTTTGTATACTTAAAACACACTCTCTCCAGTGTTGTCCAGATACTATAGGAATCGGCAATATAAGATGAAAAAGAATCAAAAAAGAGAGAGCTGAAAATGCATTACTAACACCAGCTCTACAAATTAATTTTTTTTTAAAGATCTGTATGAACTAAGAATCTTAAATTTTTCAGGGTTCTAGCAATGCTAAAAGTATCACTCAAGCTTTGTTACAATTTGATAGCAGAATCCCTTAACAATATCACAAGAGGACCGCAATAATAGTAATGCATCACAGATGCTGCATCACTTCTTAAACAGATACCATGGAATCTCTGCTCCATCATGTGCTGAGACTTTGGATACAAAAGCCTTCATGCTTTCAGCAACTGTTCCCAAATCGTAATTCTGCTCTTCCTCATGCGAGGGAGGAATGGATTCACGTTTAGCTGAGGCCTCATTCAGGATCTGATCCAAAGCATCTTCAGAAATCTCCAACCAACTATCATCTGAGAGAACAGAGAGGAACATTTTTGTGATCCAGACATAAGTCTGTCATCCTAAAGATTAAACACTCTTGTCTTGAAATCTGTAACATGAACAAACTAGTTAAAAAAAACCATATGCACCAGTTACAGTTTGCAAGGGAGACGGGAGGAAGAAGAAAAATAAGTTAATAAAATGAAACATTTATAGCTTCAGTTTCCATTGTTTTGCATCCTGCATTAGCATTTCCAAACTGGAATGAAATTTATTAACATGTATGCTTTAATAATACAGAACGTAGGCTGGGAGAAATGTGGAGCAACAAGAAGAGAAAAAGAAGGAAAATAACTGTCTACAATTTGTATTATTAGAGCAGTGAGTGATCCTCGAAGGGCATGTCCACACGAGTATGCACGTGCCTCTTGCCTCGCCTCAAACCCCTTTGAGGCGGGGCAACAGGCATGTGTAGGAACAAAAAAAATGTTCCCCCGCACTGCAAACTTGCAGTGCGGGGAGAAAATTAGACCCCTGGATATCCAGGGGTCTAAAAAAATTGACGTTTAAAAAAGCAGGCCAGGGCACAGTCCCTGACCATGCCGAGGCAACTGGAGGCTGGGTCCTCCACGGAGACACTTTGGCAGGGTTGGCCTTCGCCCTGGTGCTGAAACACGCAGCCGGCCAGGCCGCATGTTTCAGCACCAGGACTCCAGTGCCAGTGAGCAAGGGGTTGGGGGAGGGGACCATGGGGGGGGCGCACTCAATGGCCCTGCCCACTCTCCCAGCCCCCACGAGACCCCCAACCCCTGCTGCACCCAGCCCCTCCCCCCCGGGGCCAGCCCCCCTGAGGCCCTCCGCCGCTGGAGCCGTATGCCGCTTGGGACTGACTGGCGCAGGTAGGGGGAAAATGCAGCTAAGCTCCTCCTGCTCCGGCTGGGCTCATCCTGTCCCGAGCAGCACACGGCTACTCCTCTTCCCACACGCACCACGTCAGCAACGTCAAGCTGACACAGTGCGTGTGGGAACCTTGCCACTTCCCCAGCCCTTCAGCGACCATTAGGAAGCCTCTGAGGGGCTGGGGGAGGGACAAGGGGTGGGAACGAAAGTAAACAGTGTTTACTTCCATTTCCCGTTGCAGCACCGCAGGCCTCAAAAAAAAGCCTTGGCAGGCCACGTGTTGGACAAGCCTGCTCTACTGGCTCTGCAGTCCCTATCTGAGTCTGGCAGGTGCACAGCAGGTCACAGCCAGCAGCAGCCCCCCCTGCCAGACTGCTGCAGGGGGTAGAGGGGGCCGGGGGCTCTCAGGGGTGGTTGGGTAGAGGGTGCAGGGGACTCTCAGGGCTGCTTCAGCATTCCAGCTGGCACAAGGGGTAGTGTCCCCAGGCACCAATCAGCTGGGCCCCAGAAGCTCCTGCGAGCGATTAGCCCTGAGCTACTTGCCAGGGTGGCTTTTTATACTGCTGGAGCTAGGACAGGGCAGATTTTTATACTGCTGGGGACAGCACAGGTGCTGGCCCTGGGCTCTACCTCCCCCTGGCTGAAGATCCAAAAGGAGCCAGGCAGGATTATTTTGCCCCAAGTGGCACAATTAGCTCCACAACGAAGTGCATGTCTGAGCATGTGTGCTGAAGTAAAAAGCCCCAGCTCAAATTTGCACCACTTCTATTTGAGCTGCTGCAAGCGCACATGCTTGCATGTGTGGACACGCCCAATAAGGATATGAGATCCTTTTATGAGTGCCACACCATTTTAGCACTCTTAGGTGTGCAAACACCCATACATGACTCACAAAATAAACCCAGATATTTCAGATAGGAGCCCATAATGTCAAAAAACATTCTGACCCATTGCAGTCTTTGAGTTCTTTGCAAGAGAATAATTGTTCTCTTCTTTTACCATAGTTGAAAAGCGAGAGAAAACTAAGAACTGGAATTTTCTGAGCGGTGCCTTGAACCTACAAAGGTTGAGAACCACTATACTGCTAGAGGACCCTAGTATATTTCTAGATGACCTACAAAATTATGCAAAACTCCAAAGGCTGTCATTCTTCATACTGAAGGAAATGGCTTAAGCAAGTTAACACTTACTGTGTGAAGAAACCTACTCATTTGAAGTGCTCTGGTGGTCTCAATACAATAAACAATTCTGTACTAACAAACATGTTAAAAATATCTTTTAGCAGGTCTCAGCACAGAAGACAAACTCGAGTCTCAATATAGTTTTACAAACTTCTACAGAAAAGCTGCTTATTATATTAGAAACACAGCTTCAGATCCTGTGCCATCAACTTCACTCACCATCCTCTGAAGGAAGACTAGCTGCTGCTTCTTCAAGTTCCTTTAAATTGTAGGATGTTTTCTGTAGCAAAGTCAAGATTTCTTCACCTGGGCTCATGGCAACAGAGCTAAAAGAAGTAATTAGATATATATAAATGTATGAATGATCAGCAAGCTTTTAAAGGTTGCAGACTGCACTGACCCAGTTCAGGCTGTGCTGGGCAGGAGAGCAGGCACTGGGACCAGCCACCGCTGCTTTTCCCCATGCTGGCATGGGGAAAGCAACTCATGCCAAATTCCTCCACTGCCAAAAGCTGCTGATGGCTCCATGTCTGCAGACTGAATCAAAAGTCACTACTGGTTTTAGGTTGCCAACTCCTGTTCTAAATAGAATTACATGCATTTACTATTAGGAGTGTATTGATAGAGTTTTTTGGGCTGATACCTTTTGCCGATTTTTAATGAGCCATATCTGCCAATACCAATCCGATTGTTCATATGTGGCCTGGCAGCTTGAAGAACAGCATCCAACTTGTAAGTCTGTTGTGGGAAAGGGGCAGGGGGGAGCAGATAGAAGCCCCCACAGTAAAGGAGGGAGTGGGGCTGCTGGAGCTGGGGCAGGCGCTGCACAGCCGGGGTGGGGTGGGGCACAGGACAGAGCTGCAGCTCGTCTGGGGCCTGTGGGGAGCAGCTCCCGCTGCTGCATGCATCCTGCGAGGGCATGGGGGGGCGTATGCCCCTGGATCTGTGCACACGGTGAGGGCAGACTGCCTCAGTGCAAGTCATAAGATTAGATGACAGATGTCCCATCCAGCTCCATATTTATATTTTTATAACTAACAACAAAACAAACAAAAAAAAGAAATCAGTGTATAGTAGGTCTCTTACCTTTCTGGCTTGATAGCAGATTGCTGAAAATAATTCTCTGCCATACGCAGCCATTCCAAATACTTTTCAGATCCTTCTAGTTCACCCTATTTAGTACAAGTCACTAATATTAATTTACCAAATCCTCTTCCCATTACCTTCACAGGTGTGCCTACAGGGACTAGTATTAGTAGTAGAATGTGCAAGTATGATAATGCAGTTTTACTTTAATAGCCATAGTAGTTTGCATAGACCCTTGAGAAAGAAGTTTGATCAGATACAACATCACAAATTTAGAAGTGACAGATACAAAATAAATTATTCTATTTTGCCAGCTACACACAGATTACAGACCAGAAAATGGGCATGTTTCTGTTATCAGCAAAAGCAGCCATGAGATAAAAGAAAAGATGCAAAAAAAATCTGTTATGTTGCAATACAGTTGATTTTCCACACAAATGAGGAATGTTGTTTGTTAAAACATACGAACAGCCATGTACTGGGTCAGACCATAGGTCCATCCTGTCTAGTAGCCTGTGTCACGGTGCGGATGCTGAAAGGGAGAGAACTGGGTATAACCAGGGTTTGTTTTTTTTTAATCTTGCTGTTCTCTCTTACTTGCAGCCTCCAGCATTTAAAGTCTAAGTAATTCTGATTCAGAGGCTACAACCTCAATTCCCATCCTCAGTAGCTACTGATGCCCCTTTCTGCCAAGAATTTGTCCAATTCCTTTTTGAATCTGGCTAAATTGTCAGCTTCTACATCTGGTGGCAGAGTTGCACACTTTAATTACATGCTGCAAAAAAACCAAAACAAAACAACCCCCCCCCCAACTTCCTTTTGTTAGTTTTAACTTGCTACTTACTAGTTTTATTTTTGTGATCCCTATTCTTGTGTTGAAAGTAAATAAAAATCCCCATTTACTTTCTCCTCATCATTTAATATTATGTAAATCCTTATCACATCCCCCATCAAACATCTCTTTAGTCTCTTCTCATATGGAGGCCCCTCCATACCAGTAATCATCCTTGTTGCCCTTCTCTGTACCTTCTCTAGCTCTTCTATATCCTTTCTGAGATGTGGGTACCAGAGCTGAGCACAGTACTTAAGGTGAGGACGCAGTAGGGATTTATAGAGCATAATGACAATTTCTGTTTTGTTTGCAATTCCCTTAATAATCCCTAACATTATTTGCTGTGTTCTCACAGCAGCTACCACAAAGAACATAACTACCAAAGAGATCTCTTAGAACCATAAATCAATCAATCTTCAGATTGATATTTAGTATTTACATCTACAACTATGACATCACAGAATCGCTGCATAATGCTAAATATAAAAAAAGCTAATGTATTAAACAAACCTTAACAGTTTAGAACTTGTCAATGTAAACTGTAAGCCAAGGAAATAGCATGTCATATATAAAAGGTACACTTTTTTAGTCTGCTGTATAGAACTAAAATGTTCCAATCCAGTGTGATTTAAAAAGTATGGAACTTGAACTATATTAGATTTTAAAGACTGTTAACCATTTCATATTTCTGTTTTCCATAAAAATGAAAGTACCTGCATACAACAGCATTTATTATTTTGGTCTCTTCATGAAGGCTGTTTTCTCATTCTTAATAGGCAGGAGTTCACCCCCAAATCCTCCTTTTCAATTTGTAAAAGATTCATAGACATTAGGGGCTGGGAGGGACCTCATGAGATCAGAGTCCAGCCCCCCAGAGGCAGGAAGTGTGCAGGGATCAGATGATCCCAGCAAGATAAAATATCCAAATGCCTTTTGAACCTTGGACACTCAGACCATAAAGAAGTTTTTCCTTATATCAAGTCTGACTCAGCCTTCTAGAAGTTTGTGGCCATTATACCTAGTTATCCCTTGGGGAGCCCTGGTGAACAACTGTTCTCCCAGATCCTGATGCACCCCCCCTTATATACTTATAGACAGCCACCAAGTGCCCCCTGAGCCTTCTCTTTGCCAGGCTGAAGAGTCCTATGTCCCTCAGCCTCTCCTTGTAAGGCGTGCTCTCTTGGCCTTGGATCATACAGGTGGCTCTCCTCTGGACTCTCTCAAGCTTATCCACATCCCTCCTGAAATGGGGAGCCCAAAACTGGACACCGTACTCCAGCTGCAGCATCACTATGGCCGAGTAAAGCAGGAGGATGACGTCCCTGGTTTTGCTCAAGATGCATCGGTAGATGCAGGCCAGAGTTTGGTTTGCTCTGCCAGCTATGGCATTGCATTGGGGGCTCATGTTCATTTTGTGGTCAATCAAGACTCCCAAGTCCCTTTTGGTTGCAGTGCTAGTGAGTGTATCACCACTGAGCCTATAAGTATGATGCTTTTTTTTCCTCAAGGTGGAGTACCCTGCATTTCTCTATGTTGAATGCCATCATGCTTTTGTCTGCCCACTTTGCAAGCGTGTCCAGGTCGGCCTGTATCCCCAGCCTGTCTTCCAGCATGACCACCTTCCCCCCATAGTTTAGTGTCATCCACAAACTTTGCCAGTCTGCATCTGATGCCCGAATCCAGGTCATTAATATTGAAGAGTACTGGCTCAAGCACTGTGCGCTGGGGGACTCCACTGGTAACCTAGTGCAATGTTGATTTGCTCCCATCAACTAGTACCCTTTGCCATTGGACCATGAGATGGTCAAGGCCACAATTCCCCAGCTTGGTCACGAGGACATCATGGGAGACCAAGTCAAAGGCCTTCCTGAAGTCCAGATAAATGACATCAACCTCTTCTTCCTTGTCCAGGCAATGTGTCACCTGGTCACAGAAGGAGATAAGGTTGGTCTGGCAAGACCTTCCAGCAACAAAACCATGTTGGCTGGCATTCAGTAGGTTGCCTTCTGTTAACCTGTTGCAGATGGATCCCTTGATAATTTTCTCCAAGATCTTTCCAAGGATGGACATCAGACTGATAGGTCTGTAATTCCCTGGATCTTTCTTCCCTTTCTGGAAGATTGGGACCACGTTGGCTCTTTTTCAGTCTTCCGGTACGTCACCCAAATGCCATAAGCTTTCAAATAACTTGGCCATGATGTCCACCAGCTCTTTTAAGACTCTGGGGTGTAATCTGTTCAGGCATGTGGATTTATAGATGTCAAACCGCTTGAGGTGTTCTCTCACTTGATCTACATCAATTGTGGGCCCATCTCTTGAGCCCAGGTTGCTTTGCATCCTGACAGCGTGACCCCTTTGGGCAGGTAGAAAACTGATGCAAAGTAATCATTTAGGAGATTGGCCTTTTATTGGGTGTCAGATGTCAGCTGCCCCATTTGATCTCACAGGGGGCCAATGGTGCTTTTATTCTTCCTCACTTCCCACATATCTGAAGACTGATTTTTTGTTATCCTTGATTCCGGTGGCTAGACTAAGTTTGGTTACTAACATGGCTTTTCTGGACTACTCCCTACAGGTATGGGCTAGAGATAAGTAGTCCTCCTTGGTGATGGTTCCAGTTTTCCCATCTGGTGTAGGCATCTCTTTTTTGTTTCAGGAGACCCAGAAGTTCTCTGTTAAGCCAAGGGGGCTTCCCTGTCCTCTGACTGCATTTCCTGTGGTATAGGATGGACTTCTCTTGTGCACTGAGAATGGAGTTCTGTAGGAACAACCATTCGTCATAGATTCCCCTTCCTAGTTGGGCATGGTCTTTTGGTGCCCAACTGACCAGTCTCCTGAGTTTGTGGAAGTCAGCCTTCCCAAAGCTGAGGATTTCTGTTTTATTGAGGGATTTGCCCACCCTGTGTTGGACAAAGAAAGTAATCAGATCATGGTCGCCGTCACCAAGCTTGGCTTCAATCCTCAGATCACTCACCAGATCATCCCCTTTAACCAGAACCAGATCCAACAGTGCCTCTCCCCTAGTTGGCCCATAGACCGTTTGTGTTAGGTACAGGTCATCAGTGCAGGCGAGGAAGTTACGCGACCAGTCAGACCTGGCTGTGTGTTCATCCCACAAGATGTTAGGGAGGTTGAAGTCTCCCATAACGATCATACATCAGGAACGTGTACCCTCAGTCGGTTCCCTATTGAATTTGAGATCCAGTTCTTCTTGGATAGGAGGTCTGTAATAGACTCCTACAAGTATACCCCCTTCCCCATGTTCCCCCTGTATTTTAACCTGGACGGTCTCAAGATGCCCTCCATGGTTACTGAATTCAGTTTGAAGGAAGTGTACTGCTCCTTGACATAGGGAGCCCTTCTTCCCAACCCGATCTCTCCTGTAGAGGGTATAGCCTTCTATACCTACCCACCAGTCATAGGGGGAGTCCCACCAGGTCTCCATTATCTCTATGAGGTCATAATCATTATCTGTCAGAAGGGCCAGCTCCTCTTTCTTGTTACCCAAGCTCCTAGCGTTTGTGTACAGGCAGTTGAGTTTGCCATGGGAAGCCATAGGCTTCTTTATGTGATGGGACATAACCTTTCCTTGGGTCTCGTCAGGGTGGGTTGGGTTCCCTTGGGCTACTTAAGCTGTTACTGCTGTGATTGGCATGACCTAGGCTAGAACTGTTGATTGACCTTCCATCCCCCAGTGATCTTAGTTTAAAGCCCTGTCGAGTAGGTCAGCCATTCTGGCCAAGAGCTTCTTCCCTTTCTAGTTGAGGTGGAGGCCATCTCTTCCAACAGTACACAACCTCTCTCAGTGAAGTGCAGAGTGTGGTCAAATAAGCCAAACCCCGCGCGATAGCACCATCGCCAGAGTCTTCTGTTCACTATACTGATGCACCTATCCCTCTGGGGCCTGTGACAGGGAGGATTGAGGAAAAAACTACCCGAGTCCAGCCCCCAGAGCCCTGTAGTTGCACATGACTCGGCCGGGATCACTGAGCCATGTAATTTGTGCCCATGTGGATGAGTAGCATGGGATGGTGGTCCGTGGGCCGGATGAGTTTGGGGATCCTCTCAGTCACACCATGGACACAAGCCCCAGGGAGGCAGCAAGCCTCATGTGCTACAGGGTCAGGGTGAAAGATTGGGTCCTCTGTCCCCCTCAGAAGGGAATTGCCCACCACGATTGCTCTGCGTCTTCTGGGTGCAGTTGCTGGTGGCCCTCCTTCCTCATATTCTACTATAATCTAATAGGACGGTGGAAAGAGACACGGACAAAAGAACTCTTTGAAGACTAAAAACCTTCATTCGTCTCTCATAATGAAAAATTATGTCCCTCACCTTATCTAAAATCTGTTGGAAACCTTGACAAAGTTTGGACAATACTGTTTTCCCTGAATTATGCAGAGAAACAAAAATGATTTCTTTACCTTGAAATAATTATTCTTCTTCAGGCTGTTGAGGAAGCCATCCCATAATGGGTTGTTTGATACAGGCCTTTTAGAATCAGGAGAAACTTTACTGCACTTGGAGCATAAGATTTCAAACCCATGCGCCTAAGAAAGAAAGAAGAAAGTTTCCAATAAAGGTTCTTAAATAGGATACATTTGTTTAAATCAGCTTAAAAAGGACTGCATGAAGAGCTCACATGAGGTAGCCCTCACTCCCCAATACTGCCATTTCATAAATGGATTTGATGCATCCACCCTGAGATCACATTATGGCCTGGGAGATTTGCTGAGTTTCAACTTTCAGATTAGCTAGGCAGTGGCCCCATGATACCCAGAGCTTGTCGTTACAATCAAATTACTGCTAAATAATATATAGTGTGAATTTATAGCACGCTAACTTCCCTACATACAAACAAGAGCAGACCCATGATATTTGCCAAATAGTAAAAGTATAGCAAATACTTGACACATGACCTTACAATACAGCAAGGCACTCAAATCTATGGCAAGTTATCCCTTGAGAAATGTGTAGTAACTTCATATGTTCTACACAGTAACTTTCCCACATATCATGCATTCATGTCTCTGTTCAATTTCATGACAGAATAGCCATTTCCTCAGTGTGGACAGGCTTTCCTGCCACCTACTGGTTAACTAATGCAATAGCACCTAGAGACATAGCTTAAAAAAGTTGTTTCCACTCTTTACTACTAAACAAAATCCAAGGAAAAAAAAAACCAAACTCTGTAGCAATTATGTGCCTGCACCATAAGAGTACTGCCAAGTGGAGTACCCCACTCTATACTTACTCTGCACTAGGAATATACATATGGGAAGTTAGCACACAGCACTTATTGCACTGTAAATCTGCAGCTAGCTTACTTCCTAGTAACTTTCCCCATGTGAACAAGCCTGCAGAAGGAAGCATGTTACAACTGACGATGTACTGACAAGCATCAGGAGGTGGCTAAAGTAATTCTCTTCTGGTGCCTGAAAAAAAGACACCTCCGCCTGGACTACCTTCAACTTATGTCTCATATCCATTTCTCTAAAGCAAAAAATGGCTTTACAACCAAGGCAATATGCTCTTAAGACTGATGAGCTGCAATTGTGGTACAGTTTCTGCTTATAGAGCTGCGCTAGAAACAAATTATGGGTTGCAAATTTCTGCCATAAGAAAAGAAGAATGAAAGGAAGAATGAAAAAGTGTAGGAAGAGGACCGAAAGATTTTGCCTTTAACAAATACGGGAGCAGTTTAGCATTAAACTAATTTGTAGGAGGAAAAGGAACAATAGATTAGGTAAAGTAAAATTACTGGGAGGAACATACTATGCACATCCCTGTAAAAAGAATACTTCTCTATGCAGCATCTATTTGGTGATATAAACTGCTAATACCCTGCAAGTTCTCTCTGCAAGCATGCTACAGATAAATTAAAGACTCGCTCCTAATATTTCCCCAATAATCAAACAACAAAAACCAAGAATCAGGCATATAAATGCAAGATATGAGTAAAAGACCATTACCAACTTCATGCCTAACTCATGTGCTTTGTATTGATGATGTGAAGGGGATGGAAGTATATACCCACTGCGTCGGTCTGGAACAAATTTCTGCTGCATTAACTGTGCATATAAACACTTGGTGAATGTGACCTGTAAACATTAGAAGGAAACATTAGAAGGAAAGAAGGAAAAACAAGGAACTTGCATCAAAGCATGATATTTTCTACTAAAATCCCCATTTTTCAGTCCAAATTTTGTTTTGGACCTACCATGCTACAAGTTACACTTAAGATGTTACCCAAAAGACAGACAAAATGAGTTTCGCTCTAAAAATCTTGGATTTAATGTATAAATCAAGAACACTTGGAACCTTGCAAAACACAATTTTAGCATAAGGTAGGGCTGTCAAAATTATTAATATTATTATTACTATTATTACTACTACTAATAATAAGAATAATCTTTAAGTTTGGCTGTCAAATCCATTTTTAGAAGCCTTACGTAGTTGGTCCGATTTTTGATGTTAGCCAAACGTCCAGCAGTATCTAGGGGAGTAATGATAGAGATTTTTTGGGCCAATATTGATGGCCAATTTTTAACAAGCCATATTGACCGATACTGACCCGATTGCTGATATGTGGCCCAGTAGCGTGGAAAGCAGCATTTGGCTGGTAAGTCTGTTGTGGGGGAAGGGAAAGGGCGTTGGGGGGGGGCAAATTGAGGGCCTTGTGGTGAGGGAAGGAGTGGGGCAGGGTGCGGGATGGAACCGTGGCTGGTCCAGGGGCTGCGGGGCATGCTCCCCAGATCTGTGTGCAGGGCACTGTGGGTGGTGCTGGGCTCTTCCTTGTAAGGGGGAGCTGGGCTGGGACTGCGCTTGGGGCAGGTGGTGGCGGGGCTACAGCGAATTTTGGGGTGGCTGCAGCCCCTCCCCCCTGCCTGTGGTCCCCCTCCCAGCGCTGCTGCCCACCCCAAGTGCAGCTCGGCTCAGCTGCTCTCTGCCAGGAAGAGCCTGGCACTGCCCCCAGCCCCAGCCTGCAGTGGCAACCTGCCCTCACCCCACATAGATCTGGAGGGCACATGCCACTATGACTCCCCCAGGGGTGGTGTAGTGGTAGAAGCCGTTCCCCTCCCCACATCCCTTGGACAAGCCACGTGGCTCCACCCTGCAACCCCCATCCCCCCACTGAAGTGCCTGTCCCTGCACCAGCTCCACTCCCTCACCACAGGGGCCTCAGTCTGCCCGCCCCCCTCCGCCATGCTCCTTCTATGCCCCTTCCTCCACAACAAACTTATCAACCAGACGCTGCTCTCTGCGCTGCCGGGCTGCACTCCTGGCTGCCTGCATGCAGTGTTGAGGCTACGCATGTGCACACAGCATTTATAGTGACATTACTGGCTACATCAGCCAAAAAAAGCTAATTGCTGATAATGGCAATTTTCCTTTTAATCAGTTCTGATATGATATAGGACCGATGTATCCACGTACCTCTAGTAGTATCCACTAACCTCAGTGAAAGTTACTAGGTAGTTAACAAAAATCTAGCTATTTAGACTCTTAAATCAATATTTTAGGCACTCATGCTTGAGAATGCAGACTTAAAAGAGAGATACATGCAGGCATCACTTCCATCCTGCTCATTATTAAAATATGGCCACATGATGGCAAGAGCAACACAAACAAAATCCACATCAGTTATTGAAGAACACTGTATCCTAGAAACTCTCAAAATTCTGCATAGTGTAGACTATGATAGGATGAATCTTCTAAAAGGTTGGAGACCACTGCTAAAGTAGGTGATCACCTTTGGCATTTAAAAGCAACCCAAGATCTACTGTGCACCCCCCCCTCTTCCTGCCCAGCAGGTAAGTGGGGGGTGGGGGGTGGGGTGGGGATCAAGGCAGAAGGAGAACAAATTATTTAGGGGCACGCCTCCCCAGCAGGTAAGTCCCACCTGGCTGGGGCTCCACTCAACTTACCCCTGCTCTTGCCTCTGCGGCCCTGTCCCTCACCGCGGGGGCCTTGATCTAGACCCTGTCTCTTCTCTTCCCCACAGACTGACCTGTTGGGCTGGAGCATACTTGTGCATGCACACAGGCACTCAGCCCCCCACCCCAGCCTCAGATTGACTCTAAGATCTACCACAAGAGGCTCTGAGATCTACCTGTGGATCGAGATCCACTAGTTGGTGACCACTGTTCTACAGAATTAGGAGTAAGGAAAACCTGACTATCTAAAAAGCTGTCAATTTCAAAGGAGATAAGGGAGGGCCTCCTCTACTCTGCATAAAAGTTTCTGGGTATTGCAACCTTCTATAAAACCTTTGGCTGTCTTCCAGCTAAAGTGGCAGAGTTGTACAGCTGTGGAAGTATGTCTGCTGGAGCTGGTTCTAACATACATGGCTTACTTTGGGATGTATGTGGAAAGAAAGGGTGTTGGAGGGGCAGGGGAAACTGAGGAAAAAATGCGGAAAGAGAAATGACCATTTATGTTTGCTTGCTTTTTACCCTTTCTTAATTAAAATTGAAATATGTTGCCTTATTAAATTCCTTCAAACTGGATCCTTAAAGTTTGTGGCAGAATGCACAAGCAAGGTAGCAGATAATGACTACATCTTAATACAAGGATTTAATAAGCAATTCCCCTTCCACAAGTAGTCAAGTACTTCCTTTGTAGCAGTTACAGCTACAACATACACATTAAACAGTACAAGGAAATGCTTACATTTTGCTAGCTAGCTAGAAGTTGAAGGACAGCACTATGCCACTGGTCAGTTCTCTGAAGATCAAAGGTGTTGAGATTGCAGATGGGAAAGCCTAAATCACTGCAGTTTTGGAGTTAGTCTTAAATCCTTTCATAGTAACAGAGAAAAGCTTTCAATGCCCCAAATGCCCAATCAAAAAAATTGGTCAGAATAATGGAGTCAGTTACTGTGCAATTATTCAATGATCACAAGTGTTGAGGGCCACCTGTGCATTTCATCCAGCATTTCAGTGACTGCCACCTGAACTAAAAAGCAATGTTTCAAAACAAAATAAAGCAATTCTAAATTGGCTTTTCTATCATTTCAGAATTATTTTGTTGAAGAAAAGAAACTCATCTGCTTTTAACAATCTAGTTCCACAGTGAGTACAAGTAGTAAGACTTAAAATACCTTAACTAAGTAGAAACTTATGAATGCTTTCAAGAAAAGTTAATCAGAAATGTACTATTTTTAAAACTGAAAGCTGTGCATTTTCCTAACACAATGATCAAAGAAACAGCATAACAAATCAGAGTCACGAGAGAGAATAGGTTACCAGAAGAAATATCACTTACGCAACTCATCACACGCGTGTCTGGAGGGAAAATTTTGAAAGGATGGCATGCTCTTAAGTCAATGGGATCTCGCAAGTAGAAGGCCTCGACTGCAGCAGCAACCAGAGAAGGGCACTCCTTCAACACTCCCACAATGCCTGCTGGAAGGAAACAGTGGGCTTGGTGCAGGGAGGCCTTGATTTTGTCAGGATATCTGTTTCAGGCAACGATATAACATGTAAAAAAAAGAAATATTACAAACATGACCAGATATTCTTTATGCAGATATTCAACAAAAGGGGAAACAATGTGTGTTACAAATTACAGTAAAATCTTCGGTAACTGGCCCCTTACAAGCCAGCATGCTCTGTTAACTGGCATGCCAGCTTGTAAGGAAAAGTGAAACTGGAAGTGCCCACTGTGGCACTTCCAGTTTCTCCGAGACCCCACAATTGGTGGGAAACCAGCTTGCACTGCCGAGCCCCCATGGCCTGGGGGCATAACAGGCTGCGGGGGGCCCACCTCCCTGTCCTGCGTGGCCCACAGGGCCTGCAGGAGGGGCGGTGATGCCGTGGGAGGGACAGCAATGCCCCAGATGTGGCGGGAGAAGTGGCGGCCCGAATAGGCAAGGATGACTGTTCGGGTCGCTCAGTTAACCAGCATATTTTGTTATCTGGCATCCCCCATTCCTGGTGGATGCCGGATAACAGAGCTTTTACTGTACTTTAGTTTTCTAACTGGAGATTCTAATCAACATACAGCGTGGGTTATACTTACAAAACTGGTATAGCTAGGCTTTTTTGAGAGGTTTAAGTCTCTCCCTCCAATTTGATAAGTCCTTTATTGTGAAGTGGCCTAATCATCTAGCTTACAGTTCCTTAATATTAAACAACAGAATCCAATTGCAGTCTTCTTTAAGCCTAAAGTATTCTGAGAAGGAATCTGTTACCAACCCAGTGACCCTTGCTGACCATTTTAGGCATACCAATGGAAGTATTCAAACTGCCAGCAGGGAATACTGACACAAGTCACTGCTGTCCTTTTACAAACAAATAAGAAAAGCCAAAATCACACAGACATATGATATAATTTTAGCCCTGTACCTTTGTTTTTCAACACCCTGAAATAAGAATATAGTATACCACCTGTGTGCGTACAGGTGGGTTTACCAGTAGAATGTCCCAGAAAAAAAAAGTCTAGCTATTAGTTATTGGAAAAGTGGCAAATCTCATTGTAGTTGACAAGAAAATGGATTAGATACTAGGAAATAAGTGCCCTAGACAACCCAGAATCAAAGCATTCACTTAAAGAACATCAACCCCCCCTCTTCCCTCCCCAAACAACCCACTCACCCACTTATGCGTTTACAGACTGCTGTTCTAATAGGTTTTGCAGCCCGGAACTCCTCTGAATGTGCAGATAACAGCGCTAAGACCTGGGGAATTGTTGGACTGGAGGCAGGCTCCTCTCCACAAGTCTTTGATTGTGGGACGATGCACAATTCTCCTCGGTGAAAGAACACCTAAATATAAAAGTCACATCAGAAAGGGACACATTTGCATATAGACTAATAAGTTATCTGTTAAATCAGGGGTGTCAAACATATGGCTTATGGGACAGATTCAGCTCATGGAGTTGCTTCCAGCTCACCAGCTTATAGGTGGGCCACTGGCAAATGAAGGGTCTGGCCTGCTGCAGCATCCAGGGCTTTTGGGCCCCACTGGATGTGGTAGTTAGTGGCAGGACGGTGAGCAACGGCTGATACAGCCTCAGAAACCCTCCAGCTACTTAGCCTGTCCACTGCTGTAGCCCCAGCTCCATGGTTGCCACCCCCATTGCTGCCTCATGCCAGAGCTAAGAAATGCCATCACAGTGTGGTGCATGCAATAGAAGCTTTGGATCCAGAGGGTACACGGTGAGAGCTGGAGCTGCTGTGATTTTATCATGCCATGTCACGAGCTGCAGCTCAAGCTGCAGCATCTCCCAAGCTGGATCCAACCTTCAAGCAGCCCCGCTGCCACAAGGATAGGGCCCTTTGTGGCTCCCCCACCATTTGCCCTGAGGCACGCGTGTCAAGCAAAACGCCTTTGAATACTATGCTCTGGCATGTGTGCCAGGAGTTGCCAATCCCTGTGCTAGACCATGATCAAAGAGATTAAGCTGATGACTATCAGACTCTTTACAAACAAGAGCCAGTTGTAGATTTGTGAAAGAAGCAAGAAAATAAAGCTACTTAACTAGTTTTATTTTTGTTCTAAGTTGGAATTGAATTTTAAGCCTACTAAATAAGAGGGTACTGAACTGAACTCAATACACCAGTAAGTTAATTTGAATGAAAATGTTACTTACCCTATTGGCACTATTTTCAGGGTTCAACCATTTTGGAAGGAAATCAGCTGCTTCTATCAATAGGAACTCACCATCATTGTCATCAACCCTACCCAAAATTAGGTTTTTATTAGAAAAGGCTCTGCATAACACAACAACTATTCTAAATGATTTACTACTTCAGTAACAGAAGGCTCCATTATCTTTTCTTTCTTTTTATTCCTTTGTAAATCCTCCCAACCAAAGACAGAAACTATTATATATTTAATGATTTCAGTTATTTAGTTTTTTTAGGGCAAATGATTTTCTCCTCAGACTGTTGATGTTTTAGGATTTTCTTTTGCACATTCTTATATGAGAATCTACTAGTATTTCTCATTACTTGTATAAATTCACTTAATTCAGTTCAAATGTTCTGTAGTCATGCAGCTAGCATGAATGAGAGCCGTACTTTGAGCCTTATATTAGGAAGAGGTCAGAATATTATTGTGCTGTACAATTTTTCCAAAATTCAAGAACAAGATTAAAGGAATATAAAATGACCTATGAAGTTTATGAAACATCAAACACTATACACATTACTGTCACCCTAGATGGCACACCTAGCCCATCTCTCCCTGAAGAAAGGCTACAAAACGTTGTTATGTAACAATTTGATTCTTTGAAATTCAAAACACAAAAATCAGTATCCTCCCTCAAGCCTTGTAACAAAGCACATACTTAGCTTTAACTTTACATGCTGAATGGGGATTATTAATCCACTCCCTTTGGACTATCCTGGTAAAACAGTGTGGCAACAGCTATCACTAAGAAAAAAATTGATTTAGGTCTCAGGTTATAGTTTCACCAAAAAATAATAAAATTGAGTTTGCCTTGTTAAGAATACCTTGCTACTAACTCTGGAAACTCTTTTGTTATCTGCTGTAGGAGGTACACAATAAACCATTCATCTTCAATATTATCTCCAAACTCAGTCACACCCCCAATATGTGCAGGAACACCACCTGGACAAAAAAAAAAAAAAAAAAAAAGAACAGAAATTGAGTGACCTCCTCCTTAGTCCAAACCATGTTCCCGTCTCATAATTTCACAAGGGGTTGGGGGGAATGGGGATTGAAGGCTTAGAATTAGTATTACAGCAGTAGTTCAGCAAATCAAACTGTATTTACTCAAATCTTCCGTTTAACATGG